TCATCAGCATCATCAGCATCATCTCCATCCTCATCCTGATCCTCATCCTCGTCCTCATCATCTCATCATCATCGTCATCTACATCCTCATCGTCATCCTCATCGTCATCATCATCATCATCATCATCATCATAATCATCATCATCATCATCATCATCATCATCATCATCATCATCATCATCATCACCATCATCATCATATCATCATCGTCGTCGTCAGCGCCACCATCCATCATCGTCGTCATCGCACGCATGCGCATCGTAGTCACTTAATCACACATCTCAGCCTGCCGTAGCAGCATTGCCCGAGCGGCACGAGCACACGCAGAAACATCCAGAGGCGCACGAGATGAGTCACAGTGTACATTGCACATGTTGGAAGTAATGGCCACGCGTTGACATGTTAAGTCTCTATCTCCGTCAGGGAAAAATGCTGTCGAGACGGCGTGGCATGTGCCGGGATCGGGACACCAGACACCGAGCACCGCTGGCCACTGCACTGGGCACGACGCCCAGTGAGCCTGGCTATCCTTTGCCTCCTCCGCCACGCGGCCGAAACACACACACTGGCGGTCCATGTGCTGTCATTCTTCTCGCCGTCGCCCACCCCCCACCCAAGAGATTGGGCACGGGCATCTGCCAGGAGGGCGAAGCACTCAGAGGAGGCGCGATTTGCAGCTCCGCCACGAGATCCCTCGGAGCGCCTGGGCAGACAGCGGGCAGGCCGCCCCAGACGAGATCCTCGTACACACGCGACCTCAAGAGTATCCTCAAAAGAGCTCGGTCCTGAGGGCCCGCCCGAAAGCACGCTGGACCTGGACCTGAGAGCTCTCGCGGTGCGCCTCTGCGAAAGTTCGGGCCGCAACACCAGCACGCGCTCGCAGCACATCCGGCGCTGGGGGAGCCCCCACGGGCTGCGCTGAGCTCCTGGGCGAGGGACCCTCGAGACCAAACTGGCAGGGACGGGGCGCCACTCGTCCAGGGCACGAGTGGGAAGAAGCGCTTGGCGTTGGCCTGTTGCCGCCGCCACAGGGCTCGCCAGTTCGCAACGGTCTGCTTCGCAGATCTCCAGAAGGCCGCAGCCCCTTGCACCGGAAGTGCGAATAGGCGGACCTTAGCCCAAGAGGGGAAGGGCACAAGAGAGAGGGCGAGAAGGCGAGAGGCGCGCCGTGTGCGGCCAAAGAGGCCGACCCGCACAGGGCAAGGCGCGTGAGCCGCAGCCTTCACATGTCGCTCCTCTGCGCGGAATCAGATTCAAATGCTTTCCAGTATCCTTCCAAACTGTACCGTGCGCGGTCACTTCTTGACTCGAGGAAACGTCGAACCTCATCTGACCCACGACGCCTGGGTCTTTCTTGACACCTCGATGCGCGTTGCGGCTCCGGTCTTGCAGTAGATCTTAGCACGTACTCGGGAACGGCTGCTGTATCCGCTGCTCGCATGCGTATTTCATAGTTCGTTGCGCAACGATCTACGAATCAATGTGTCATTCGACCATACTTGATGATGCTTCTCTCGTGAATCGTTTGACCAAATCCACCCATGGATCGACAATGTCGCTCAACAGATCGTCTGTGCGAGCTCGCCTCCTTCCCTTCCCCAAGATCATGCGCAGCATCCGTCTTTGGCAGCGTAATAATTTCCCTTGCATTGGACTGGTGATTGCCCAATTTGCTGTTCCGTCGAGTACCGTCGGCTTCACCACAGTGTCGAAATGCTTCAACCGATCGTGCAGGGAGTAATCCGTTTTAGTGAGCTCGTCCCTGTACACCATGAGCTTCTTCCAGTCAGCAGAAGTACGATTGTCTAGTTCAGCGTCATCCGGATCTTCAAAAGTGAGCTCTCGCCCGAAGTACTTGACGCTGCCACTGGAAGGTAAAACTTCTATCTCTAATCCACATACTTCCAAAAATTGTCGCGACATCCTCCCTGTCAAAGAGCTGGGAAAGAGGAAGGGTGAACGGAGGCAAGCGGAGAACTTCATGGAGAACCCAAGACTCCCAGCGCAGCACTTGACGTGAGCGGGAGGGGGCCGAAGGTAGGAAAACGTGAACGCTGCTCTCGAACTCTAGAGCTGGATCGCCAGAGGGGGCGGCCTGCTGCTTCGCGATGCTCCCCACCACCCCACCCGCTCCCGAAACACCCGATCCCACACTCGGTTCTTCGCAGCTGGGCCGATCAACACCCCAACGTACTCTGCCGCGCTTGCGAGGGGGGAGAGAAAACTTCACCTCTGGCTATCAGGCGCGGCGCAAAGCAGCTTCAGCTCCGATGCGAATTCACCCTCCGAGGGGAGCTCCGCAGCACTCTGGCATCGTCAGCTTGAGACCCCCGAGGGCTTCAGCCGCGTAAAAAAAACACCTTGCACCTTAGGGAGCGCCTTTTTTTTCCGAAAGAGCCATGCCCATGTCGTCCGCACAAACACCCAGCTCCGAACCTGCAAACCTGGTGAGGCGCCCCCCGAGGTCATACCAAAAAAATCCATCGCTATAGACCATGCCGTTCCACTGAACGGGTCACCCTGCATAACCCAAGCTGGGACAACGCAGAACTCGAACATTAGTCCCAGGATGGGCACCCGGGCATGGGCGAACGTGTACGTGACTTTGAGGAAAGGTTTGAAACCTGCTAGCAGGCCAGATGTTTGGCGTACATCCCTAAGGAAGAGGTGACAGAGGCTGAGAAAGGCGCTGCCAAAGTCGAAGAGGAGAAAAAGAGGGTGACGCTCGCGAGCCTGCTCAGGCATCCTCACTACTTTGGCTGTCAAACCCGCCAACATAATATTGTTCAGAAAGTTGCGTCCTACTACCAAAAGAAACGTCTGGTCTGCCTGAGTCTGCGGGCTTGCAACGTGTTTCAGCGTGAGGATACAAGCAGACGCGAGCACTTGAACGTCTGTGTTGTTTTTCGGCAAGGGCTCGTGTCGTCGCTGGCTCTCTGACGACGCTGCTGCTGTCGTCATCTCTCTTCCCAGGTCAAGCAGCCCAGTCCAGGCGATGTGGGCTTCTCTTCCCTGATCGCTTCCCTGGTCTGAGCTGCAGTTGGAGGTGAGGCATCCGACCAGTCAAAGCAGGTAGCGTGCTTCGCTAGATACCTCCTCACACGAAGGATCGGAGAACTCTTCCAGGAGAAGACAGGGAGGGGCCCAGCGCTGACGCAGGGTTTGCGCCATCTCCCTGGGATCCGAGACAAGGCCACCCTCAGGATTAACGAAGGCCTGCAGAGGAAGGACTCTGCTCGGGGGGGCCCAAAGCTTGCCACGCCTGCGCTCAGCCTGCATGCAGGCTTTGAGGCGACGCCTTTCTTGAAAAACTGGTGACTGCTTCACCGCCGACCCCGCTGACTCCAGCCTCTCCTCTGCTCGGACAGCTGCTGCTGAAGGGTATCGCCCTCGCGACGAATCTCGACCGACGACCTCAGAACGACCGTGCCCTCGGGAGCAGAGGCGAGCAGGCGAGCAGCCAGCGCGAAACCATTCCGGCTGACCGCTCTGGAAGCTGCCCTGAGGATCAACAAACGAGGCTCGAGGGCTGGAGCCTGGACCGGACGAAGGAGTTCCGGGCCATGCTGGCCGCTTCCAGCAGCAGTCTTCTGCACGCTCGCCCCTCAGCGATGGGAGGAAGGGAGGAACGCGGGGAGAACTGCAACAGGAGGGAGGCGACTGGCAGAGACGATGACGACGGCGCCTCGACGCCGAGCCGCGAGCGGGACCCAAAGCGTTCAAGAAGGCGTCCGCGAGAAGGCAAAGGCCACTGATCTTCCTGCGGTCTTGGCCCAAGCTTGGCCTCCCTGGGGGGCCAGCGCCCCCCGTCGTGTATCGATCGCCTCCAAGATTGGCCCCAAGCAGGCCCAATATCGATCCAGAGGCTGCAACAGCAGCAAGATGCCTGTGCCTTAGCTGCTGCGGGCCCGAAGGCCCTGAGGAAAAGCAGTCGACGCGCGGGCCAGACAGTCGTCGTCGTCGTCGTCGGGGACAGCGAGAGACAGTGATAAGAGGTCGGCGACTGGCAGAGAGAAGGCGACTGCTCCTGCTCGGGCTCTCTGGCTCCCACCGTAAGGTTCGACATCACCGGGGCATGGTCAGAGATGCCACTTTGGTGGAAGGCCACTGGACTCCTCCTCCTCCTCCTCCTCCTCCTCCTCCTCCTCCTCCTCCTCCTCCTCCTCCTCCTCCTCCTCCTCCATCCCTCCTCCTCATAAGTAGCCTCTCCCTGTCGCGCCCCGAGGCCGGTCGAGAGAGCGGGCCGGGCGTTTCGCCAGAGGCTCCCTCACCGTGTATGATCCTGAAGCTTGAGATTTGCAAGAGTTTCACCGGTGGAGGACGGCCCGCTCTCAGAATGTGGCCCTCGCCTTGGCGCCGCGCACATTCCTTTTAAAAAGTTGCAAGGGTTTCGCGGACAGAGGGCGGCCCGCTTTCAAAATGCGGCTCTCGCCGTAGCGCCGTGCACTTTCGTCTTGCGAAAACTGCGAGGAGCTTCACGCATGGAGGGCGGTTCCTTTTCGAAACGTGGCTCTCGCCTCAGCGCCGCGCACATTCGTCTTCAGATTTTGCAACAGGCTCAAGGATGTTCATGGTTAACGTCGCAAAAACGGTGTTTTGGCACGATGTCGGAATGTCAGGCCGCAACAGTCATGTTGATTCGCGGTGTTGAAATCCCAGGAATGGCTTTCTGGTACGGTTCAAGATCGCCAAGACGCAACAGTAACGGTGATTCGCGGTGTTGAAATCCCAGGAATGGTGTTCTGGCACAGTTCGGATGTTCAAACAGTTGTCTTCCACCGGCGCACTTCCATTTGTGAAAAAAACGAATCCCTGTAGGGGCCTATGAAGAGGGAACCCAGAGGGAGGGCTGCTTCCAATATCGTTGATGAGTCTCCTCCTCCTCCTCCTCCTCCTCCTCCTCCTCCTCCTCCTCCTCCTCCTCCTCCTCCTCCTCCTCCTCCTCCTCCTCCTCCTCCTCCTCGAGGGAGGGGAGCGAGGCCCAGGCTTCATCCCGGCCGCCCGGCCCGGGACGAACATGTCCCGCTCGGGCTCCAGCCTCGCCGAGGCGGCGCCGCGGGCGAGGATGGCCTGGGGGGGGGGAAGGCAACGGCGGCGGGAGGCCGAGGACGGAGGTGGTGGTGGGGGAGGGGGGGGCGGCACGGACGGCGAAAGAGGCGGGGACGGGGAGAGGGCGGGGCGGGCAAGCCAGGTGCCTGCAGCAGATTCGTACGCTCCTGCCCACCCCCAAGCATCTCTTGCAAGGGCGCTGACGCTCTCCAGCCATCATGTGGTCTTGGGCCCTCGTTTGAAATACGCATCGCCCCGCATTCCTCCTCCTCCTCCTCCTCCTCCTCCTCCTCCTCCTCCTCCAGTCCTTTTCCTAATAAATAACCTCTCCCTGTCGCACCTTGAAACCAGTTTTTAGGGCGGACCGGGCGTTTCGCCTGAGACTTCTTTACCATTTACGACTCTGAAGCTTAGAAAGTGACAACAGTTTCAGGGATTGAGGGCGGGTCGTTTTCAACATGTGACTCTCGCCTTAACGCCGCGCACACTCGCTTTAAAAAATTGCAAGAGTTTCACGGATTGAGGGCGGCTTCTTTTTCAAAATGTGGCTCTCGCCTTAGCGCCGCGCACACTCGCTTTAAAAAATTGCAAGAATTTCACGGATTGAGAGCGGTTCCTTTTCAAAGTGTGGCACTAGCCTCAGCGCCGCGCACATTCGTTCATAAAACTTGAAAGAGTTTCACGGGTTCCCATGGTCAGCGTACCAGAAATGGTGTTTGGGAAAGATTCAGGATTATGCGGGTGTAACAGTTATATGGATTCGCGGTGTTGAAATCCCAAGAAATGGCGTTCTGGCACCATTCCAGATCGTCAAGACGCAGCAGTCAGGTTGACCCGTGGCGTTGAAATCCCGACAATTATGTTTTGCCATGCTTCAGGGTCTTCGAGGGTGTCTTCCAAGGAGGCAGTTCCCTCAATGGAAATGGGAGGGAGCTTGGAAGGAGGGTTAATTCCAACATCGTTGATGACTCTTTGGCTTACACTGGTCTTCCTGCAAAACCCCGAGGAGGGTTCTGCACGGGAGCTTGGCGACAATGATAACGATAGGTCACCTTTATACTCCCGAACGGCAAAGCGGGTCGATGTAGCTTCGACCGTTAAACACTTGAGCCAAAGGCAGCAGGGTTACTATTCCTCCCCTGTCACACGCATGCTTGCATGTTAACACCCCCCCTCGGACGCCAGTCCGCATTGGCTGACGGGGAGGTGCTTGTAAACACAAAGACAGGTTAAATCAAGCGACAGGCTGCATGAATATCGTTACACCACCGAATTCGAAATATCTCGTAACAACGTTCACGAGCACCACGTCTCTCAGACATGCAACGTGAGCTCAAGTAAACATTCAATCAGTTACGAGTTTAAACGCAGCATCCAAAGTTCACACGGCAGGCTAGCATTTATATGGTTTTGATTGCTTTCGCTTTTTATGCGCCAATACCTGCGGTAACTATAAAAGATGCACATGCAAATAGATTCAGCTCAATGGTCCACTGCAACGCTATTGTTAAGCCTGGTTGAGAGGGGAGATGAGAGCGAAACAAATAAAAAAAAAGAAAAAGAAAAATAAAAAAATAAAAAGAGGAAAACAAAAAAAGAAACAAAGACAAAAAAATAATAAGAAAAATGTGTGTATACGCAATACAATACCAAACGGCAGAAAAAAAAAAAAGAAACCGAAATCATTAAAACCGCCCAAAATCAGATACCATAACACAGCTACACGGCCTCCCCCCCGCCCCTAGCAACAGCCCCCTCCCCCCCATCTTCCCCGCTACCCCACCGTCCTCAGCCTTACACCCCGTCCCCGAAAACCACCGAAGAAAGCGCCACCCAGCCGGAGCCACTGAGGCCCCCCAGTCCTACGGACAACCACGGTGCCCCACCTTGCCGCCTTCAATACAGTCCCCATGAGGAAAAAGGCCTGCGTCGGGCTGTAATAGTCGGTGTCCAGGTACGCGTTAATGCGCTCCTCGTCGTCCAGCCAGCACCCCTTGTCAAAGCTCTTGGTGGACCCGTCAACAATGTTGTGGTAAGTACCGGTACCGATGGCCCTCCAGTAACTGGCGTGGGGAGCCTTCAGCAGAGGTTTACCACCTGGATTGTTGCGGAGGTGCTCCTCGACCGCAACTCCGGTAAACGGGTTCACAGTCCAGGCCGGGTCGGTAAGCCAGTTGGCAAAGTCGTCGCACGGCAACCACCCAAACCAACAGAGCTTCTCGCGGTGGTCACTTTTACGCTCGGTGATGTGATCGGCAGGCCAGTTGTCACGGTAGAGTGCCCTCATGGACCCCTGATCGTTAAGAGCGACGTCCAGGATGGTCTGGTGCCAGTAAACTGGAGGCTTGTTGATGCTGCCCTTTAACTCCTCGGCGCTCCTGACCTCGAGATCCTCGATGAAGTAGTTGCGGTAATACACCTGGAGCCCGTTCATGCAACGGCAATAGAGCTCGGCAAGGTCGTGCGTCGCAAACCTGATCACGGTAACCCCAGTTGAGATGTAGCCGTGCGGTCCGTAAGTGTCTTCCACCAAGTGCTTAACGGAGACCACGGTGGGGTTGCCGTGGGGCAGCATCCCGGCCCACGTTAGCAGAAGGCCGTTAAGCTGTTTCTCGTTCATTTCTGGTGCCTTGTTGACGTAGACCTGTGTGTCTGGGCAGCTGTGAACGTCGAACCACACTGGGTGGAGATCGTTAACGTGAATCGGCGGCACGTACTCGTCGTCGAACAGGGAGTGTACGTGCCCGACCGCGTCAACCCACTCGTCGTGCTTTTCCAGCTCCTTCTCCGTCAACTGAGACCTCCAGCTGCTTGGGCCCTTCAACACGGAGTAACCAAGGAAGCCGTAGGCGCGCTGCCCGTAAATGTCGACGAACACCTCATCGTAGTCGTTAAGTTCCCGCCCCGCGTTGCCCGGAATAGATCGACCACCTGGAGTCGTTAACCCCTCTTTTGCCACATGTCCGACGAAGTTGCCTTCGAACCTGCGCCAGTTGTCGCGTGTCTTCATCGTTAACGCGACTACCTCCCTGGGGTCGGGCTCCACCTAGTAGTTGACGTCGTGGTCCTCGCTCCTGTCGTTCACCATGGGCATGCGGCCGTTGACATGGTACAGTGGGCGGTACATGCCCCTGGCAATGTTCCGCGAGTATGCCGCAAGCTGCTCGTCCGTACGGTTAACGGCTTGAGGCTGCGGTGGAGGAACATACTGGGTCGATAACTTCTTGGGCACCGGAGGCGGGGGATTCATGCCGCTAACACTGCTCGATGCACCTGACTCACCAAGGCCTGGAGGAGGCGGCTTGGGCGCCCTCACGTTCACTACCGGGGCAGGGCCTTTTGATACTTCGTCACGTTGACTGCCCTGTGCACGATCTTCATCCATCTTCATTCCCAGCTGCAGTAACTCTTCCAAGTCCCGCTTACGCTCATGCATGGCCTTGGGTGCCTTCTTGTAAACAGGTCGAGGTGACGTTGACTGCGGGATCTTATTCGGCGACACGGATCGACCGAACCCTCCGGTCTTGGGCGTGGTGCCGGTAAAGCTCTGAGCCGGGGGTGCACCCGATGCTGCGGCAGCTCGGGCTAGAGGCTGGCTGGCCCCGGCCGCCGCGTTGACTGCAGTGGGAGGTGCCTTGGCGGCCACTGCCGTTGGGGGCTGCTCGGGTAACGGCGGAGGAACCTGCGGGATGTTGGTAACCAGGGAGTTGATCGGGTCATGCAAGAACCTCTGTAATCCTTCCAGCCTCTCTGTTACTGCCACCAACAGGCGTAGTGCCGCATCACGTTTACCCTCGAAGTCCTGCAGGGGCGTGATGTTATCGGCAAGGCGCTTGGCGGTGTTCAGGAGGTAACCAATGTTGTCGTTGATGCGCCTATACTTGGTTGCATTCTCCTCCGTGTTAACTCCCGAGTCGCGATTCTGAATGTTCAGGTCCGTAATCGTCGCCATCAGAGCGTTAATCTCCGCCTGCGCCTTTTGGAGATTCTCGTTGACGTCGTCACTGTCCTGGATCAGCGCCTCGTTCTGCCGCGTTAACTCCTCGATCCTCTTCGCCATGTCATCCGCGGCCCTTTGCACCTCGTCAACGTGTTTGTCGTAGGCTCCGTGGAAGTTAATCGCCATGTTAGTGAGGGTTACGGTAAACGCGTGAGCAACGTGCACCATGTCGTCAACACGGCGGTTGAGGTTCTCACGCGTAACCGGTCCATCCCCAGCCGGGCTCTGGTCGACCATGGAACCGTTGATGGTGAGGTTGACCTGGGGAGCCGCCATGCCTTCGTTCACGCCCAAGAGTAAGAGGTAACGGGTGGAGAAGGCCTTTAATAGCTGCAGTTTGCTTGATAGAAATGAGCTGCGAACATCAACATTCGGTACATCAACATTCGGTAGCTGGTGCAAGCTCATGCCTGCCTGTTAATGCACATTGATTCGTGTTTCGTAGATGTGTGCTCATGCTTTCACGACTGACATACTTGGTCAACGCATCTGCTGCATTCTCGTGTGTCCCTGCTTTCACAATACGAATCACTCCCTCCTTAACTTTCTGCTGTAACCACAATTGACATACCTCGATATGTCTTACTTTCCCCAAGCCTCGTCTGCTCGCGATGGCAATCGCAGCTGCGGCGTCGCTCTTCACTGTAATCTCAACTTCCAAGTTAAAGTCTCTCAATACTGCCTGAAGTCCTAAACCCACTGATCCTCCTTTCACCAGTCCATAATACTCTGCTTCACCTGACGATAACGCGATTACACTCTGAGTCGTGCTCCAAGACTTTATGAGATGTTTACCCCACATCACTACTCCCCCACTCGTAGACTTCCTCGTTCGCTTACATCCTGCGTAATCCGTGTCAGTCCAAATAGTTAATTCTTGGGGCTGCTCCTGATATTGATACACATAGCTGCTTCTGCTGTGGTACTTCAAATACTTTCCTAACTTGACTAAACCCTTCCAAGAACTCATCGTGGGCTTTGACATGGTCCTAGCGAGTTCCTATACCGAATACTGTATGTC